AAAGTACAAATCAATAATTTTGATTGATTAAGGGGCTGGGTGAGTTATTTTTATTCGGGTGCCCAGGGAATGTTTTGGAGTTGGTTGGGACAGAATTTATACTAGAGTCGGGGAAGTTTTTAAATAAAAGCTTGTTATTAAAACTTTTTTACAAGCTTTTATTTAACTCACTTCCTCTGTCTGTCTGTCTAGATCGAAAAGCCGGAGCGAAAATTCGGACACTTCTACTTGACCGATACGATTCACAGTTGGCACGTGGATCAAGACATGAAGACAATGCAATCTGAAATTAAATTTGGCTTAATTTGATGCCTAATTAATTTTTTATGAATTAATTAAAATTTGGACCGAATTAGTAGGCATGTCTATCCAACCACACCACACGCGTCATCACGTTCAATAGCTGCGCCATCACGTTTAATGGCTACGCCATCACGTTCAGTAGGCGCGCAATGGTTTTTAGTCATGTAACTCTATTGTAAATAAAACATGTAAAGTACTGGAAAAAAATTCATAAAAAACGTTTTAATAACAAGCTTTTATGTAATAATGCACTAAAAAGTAGAAAATAAATTATAGACTACTATTTAAATAACTATAAAGAAAAGCGTGGGTGTCTTCCTTAACATTAGTAAAGGTATCCAATAGATACTAAAGTGACCCACGCTTTTCTTTATAGTTGTTTACAAGTGGACTTATAAGTACCGTCAAGGCACACGGTCATTTTTTTAGGATTTCTAGGAAATGGCAGATTTTCGATGTGGAGTGACATAAATATTATTTTGATAATTAATATCGAAATGTACTCAAAAAATGATATTTACACATTTATAAGAAGGTTAGCATATGGTTTACCTAAGAAATATTGTAATTACATGTCGAATTCTAGTAGTAAAAGAATAACAAGAATAAAGGTAACAGTTGCAGGCTCGTTTATTAGGTTTTGTATACTTCATTTGTATACCAAGGCCTAGTACTAGTAGTAAGATTTAATTTGTTAGTTATTATTATTGCAATAAACTGTCGTGTCTACAATAACTAGCATTTACGTAATGTATACCTGTAGACTAGTAATAGTCCATACTTCTGCATATAGTAAGGATCTATATGGTAAAATTTAATCAGTAAACAGAAAACAGTAGGCCACTACGGCTATCCTAAACACATTGAGTTCACTTCTATTGATGAACTTTACACTGCAGTGTAGAATTGTCATAACATTCTAGTAGTCTACAATTATACTAGTATTACTCGTAGTTGTGTACTGAATGATTAGGCTTTTGTTTGTTTATGCGGCTCATTGTAATAGCTATTGGAAGCTTCCAGAAAAAGCATGTTCAGTCCGGCAACCGTTGCTACACCAGAAAGACCACAGACAAGATTTAGGGAGCTTGATATGTCGGCAACTTTTGCTGTGTTTGAGGTCTAAGATGTGTTCCGATAGAAAATCCAGTAAAAATCGTTCTCTAAATATACATTTGTGCTGTATTTATGTATGAAAACTAACCGTCCCGTCAGGCCCTGCTCTGGCTTCTGTGAAAAACCTTTCTGTTAAAGACCATTACCCGGCATTGCCCACCCAAACCACAACCAACCAAAACAACAAAACGCAAACATAACGCTAACACAATTACAAATACAAAAAAAAAAAAACCTAACAACAAACTCAAGCACAATCACAAACACCAATACAAACACAAGGAAAAAACAAACAAAAAGTAAACGAAAACAAAAACCTAACAACAAACCCAACCACAACCACAAACACCAATACGAACACAAAGAAAAAAACAAACGAAAATGCAAACGAAAACAAACCAAATCCAAACGCAAAACCAACCACAAACACAAACCCAAAGAAAAAACACAAACGAAAAAGCAAACGAAAACAAACCAAATCCAAACGCAAAACCAACCACAAACACAAATACAAACACAAACCCAAAGAAAAAAAACACAAACGAAAACGAAAAAAGAAAGAACAAAAACGAACCAAATCAAAACGCAACCACTAACGCAAACCCAACCTAAACACAAAGAAAACACTAACGCGAACATAAACGCAATGTGCTCACAGTCTAGCCCGGGGCAGAATCGCCTGTTTCAGCTTAATAATCGACTATAGTACCCCAACTTATTCATAGTCTTTTGCACTCACTTAAACGAACGCGCCTGTTTCAATTTAATGAACAATTATAATACTCCAAGCTTATCCGTAAAATACCTACAACATTTGCACTTGATCAATCCCCACTAATTATGTAATTATTTTTTTCCCAACACCAAAACAAAGTAATAAAAAGTAAATTATTTTCCACTAATGCAATGGTTTTATAAAGGGAAGTAATTGTGTTTTCCTAATTTATCAAAGGGAAGTAAGTGCTATAGGACTAAATAAAGACATAATTAGAATTTTTGTAAAAGATAATATTTTTTTAAAACTTGTGTTTAATGAACATGCCGACAATTATTACTATAATTTGAAAAATGAAAATTATTTCCCAACACTTTCAATAGTAATTTTTTAACTCATAAATTTAGACAAATGCGCACGATAATTGTCTAACACTTAAATTCATTCAAGACCAACGACAAACATATGCGTTACATACAGAAAAGTAAGTGTTAAAGGACTAAATATAAATAATTTTCAGACATAATTAGAATTTTTGTTATTTTTTTAAAATTGTGTTTAATGAACATGCCGATAATTATTACTATCAGTTTGAAAAATGAAAATTATTTCCCCACACTTTCAATAGTAATTTTTTAACTCATAAATTTAGACTATGAGTGCGGTAATAGTCTAACACTTAAATCCATAGAAGTATGTCAACGACAAACAAACTCATTACATGTTAATACAGAATTGAGCTTTATAAATTAGATTACAAAAAAAAAATGATTGTTATAAAGATTGCCATGTTGTTAGTTAATAAATTGTATCGTTTGTTCCTGTTTTGTAAAAAAAAGATTTTGTTGGAAAAAAATGTCCTACATTCCTTGACGGTACTTATAAGTATCAATATCTGTTTGGGCCATTAAAAATTATTTAAACGAAATTTCCTTTGGCATATGCTTTAAATGTGCCAATAGCAATATGATAACTCATTTTTTAAGAAAAAATTTCATTCAGAAACTAATTCTGTAAATAAAGGGTTAAATAACTATAAAGAAAAGCGTGGGTCGCTAAATATTAGTAAAGGCATCCAATAGATACTAAAGTGACCCATGCTTTTCTTTATAGTTATTTAAATAGTTGTATATAATTCATTTTCTACTTTTTTGTACATTATTACATAACAGCTTGTTATTAAAACGTTTTTTATGATTTTTTTAAATACTGCTTTTTATTTATTTTATACACTGAACGTACTGTTTACTAATTATTATTTTTAATCAATAACAGTTTAGAAGCCGGTCTTAAATGCCTTCTTTTTACTATCTTTCAGTTTACGGACAAGATGGGGGTATTATAGTCGTTCACTGAATTGAATGAGGCCCGTCAGCCCGCGCTCCGACAGGGTTCGATTTGACGCCCTGGGCTATCCTTTTAGCGCCATGGTGAATACGTTCGTTTTAAACAGTGCAATGGACTATGGATAAAAAAGGTTACCATAGTTCTTAACTAAATGGATTCTGGGCGTCCTCCGACGCCTCAACGTTGTGCTATTTTGCGCCCCGGGCCTTGCCGTGAGCGCTATGGAGCCAACGTTCGTTTTAGTGAGTTCAATAGACTATGGATAAGATGAGGTATTATAGTTATTTACTAAGTAGTTTCAGGCAATTTGGCGACACTGGCTATACTGTGAGCACTATGCGTTTATGTTTGCATTTAAATTTATGTTTATGTTCTGCGTTATTTTTTTTCGTTTAGGTTTGCTTTTGTGGTTGTTTTTGTAAATGCGTTACTGTTTGCGTTTTTGTTTGTGTTTACATTTGCTTTGCTTTTGTGTTTTGGTTTGCGTTTAGGTTTGCCTTTGGGTATTAGTTTGCGTTTGTGTTACGTTTGTTTTTGTGTTTGTGATAAGGTTTGTTGTGGTTAATGTTAAGTTTAAAGTTCGAGTTTGGTTAATGCTATGCGTTCTTTTGTCAAGCGTCAATGCCTGGTATATGTTGCTTAATAAACACACAAGTAATGGTCCTTTACACATAAATTTTTCATAGAGGCCAGTGCAGGGCCTGGCCGGCTAGTATGTATATATATATATATATATATATATATATATATATATATATATATATATATATATATATATATATATATATATATATATATATATATATATATATATATATATATATATGTATATATGTATGTATATATGCATATATATAAAAGTAAAAAATAATATTAAAAAAAACGTTAAAACAGCTTTTAAAAAGTAATTTAAAAAAACTAATTAACTTGTTTTCTTCAATAAAAGCATTGGTCGCCAAATAGGCCTACTATGGAACTGCGTCTAACACAGAAAAAATACGTTAAGGGGGGAGGCTCCGGTAAAAAAAAAAACTTTTTAAATACTCGTTAGAAAACAGTGCATATCTTCAAAATAATTTATTATGAATTTTCAAAATGTGTGTCCGTTCAAAACACTTAATTTTGCGAATTTTGGGGCATTAAAACTAGTGTTTTGAACGAACACAAATTTTGAAAATTCATAATAAATTATTATTTGAAGGCATGCAGTTAAATTTTTTAGCTGAGTGCCCCAAAATATGGAAGTAGATTATGAATTCATTATTTATTGGGCTTAAAATATATTTTATGGATGGTGGAAAACCTACGAGGGGGTTAATTTTTCAAGATGGCCGCCATTGTCATAGTTACCAAGAATTTCCCACGAATTTTATTTAGTGGAAATGCATATTAAATGTGGATGTATCTTAATAAAGCTGTAAAGAAATAACTGTTTTCTAACGAGTATTTAATTATTTTTTTTTTACCGGAGCTTTCCCCCTTAAAAACATAAATACTAACACGAAATGGATTAATATTTGATTATTTATTATTACATTGATACGTGAACAGATTGACAGACATTAATTATCATCTGTATTTAAATATAGGCATACATCTTAGTGACATACTTTGTAATTTGTTTCCAGTTGCAATACTCACTAAAATGAATTTAAAAACATGTATAAATGCAGTTTTGCTTAGAAATAAGATATTGATACTGTCTAGTGTATAAATTCTATAAAAATATTTACTTTTTTTTCTAGGAAAATTAAAATCAAACTGACTGAACACAGCTTTAAACGTTGTCACAGTTAAAGACATAACATTTGCGCTGTTAGATGGAGCTTTTCGACACGATTGGTGTTTTTTTTCTTTCTTTGGTCAAGTTATATTATTTAATATCACACAATGCTGCAACTCCACGAAGTATCCAATGGTCAGGACTTTGAGAGGTTCTCATCAAAAGAATTGTAATAAATGTTAGATCGGTTCGACCAGGTTTCTTGTACACCGGGCATTGGTATAATTTCGGGTCCTGTTTACAATTTAAACATAAATATTTTAGTAAAATAAATTATCAAATTAAATGTTCTTGACTTAAGGCGGTTTGTTGCTCATATGTTATTGGTATTTTAGTTTAAAGAGGACGTATGGTAATCGTACAAATACATGAAATCGAGATTGTGTTTACACATTCATAATCTGAAAACAGTTGCCATCTTGCGCGTGTGTGTATGTGAACTAGATAACTTGAGTTGGGCTAACCGGGGCACCCTTTCCATTGATTTTACGATCAGAACAAGCATTTTATCGGCATCAATCTTCATGCATCCTTACGTAACCCATGCATTTTTTAAAATAGTGTACATTATATTATTTTAATTTTTGAAAATAGTTTTTGTTTTTATAGTAGCTTAATCCTTTTTGCTGCCAATAGCAAACTTAATTATGTCTAATACTTCAATTTTGTTGTTGTTGTTGTGAAAGATCAATGTTTTGGTTAGTTTATGGTCGTAAAAGTAATACAATCAAACTGAAAATAAATGGGTTTTGATTCAAACATTATTCTTAAATGGTAGAATGATATTCGTAGGCTTTGTGTAGGTCTGCTTCCGCCAAATGCTTCTTTGACTAACATCGCTGTGTTATATTCATTATATAGAAATAATTAATTTGATTCGGCAATGTTACAACTTGATGTTTTCCTAACAGTGTATCATAATGCTGTTGTTAACTTGCTAGGTCTAAAACTTCCAGAAGTCTCGATTTCATTTATTTGCACGATTACATTACCTCCTCTTTATTCTAGAAAATAAAAAAAAACATACACAAGCTACAAGTTGGAAATATTAACTTTAGATATAATCGTTTTAGTATTTTAGTGCCCGATGATCCGTCTGTTGTCATAATTTTACATTGAGTTAAGGAGTAAGTTAAATGTGAATCTGTCCCTTTTGTTTATGATACATCATACAATGTACACCTCTAAGCCTGGTTATTCCAATTTTGTTAATAATGGCAGTACAATACTTTTTTTTGTAATTCGTATAATAAAGTTGATACTAAATAGGCTGCGACTCAAATATTTGCATTAAAACCCGATAGGTAGCTTGTGATCATGAAAAAAAAATCAGTTAGTGGTTGACGCACAGGTAATAACAAATCACTAAGGCTTTAAAAACAAATCAGCTGACAGATCGCTGATATTTAATTTTGTTACCTCTCTTTTTATTATTGAATAAAGTAATTTTTATATACACACACATATATTGATATAATATAAAATAAGCTTTCGAATTCAATGAGCATAAGAAAATAAAACGCTTTCTAATAGGTTTCGCTACCTGAACCATTTAATTAAGTCACGTATTTTATTATAATTATTAAATATTTTTATTGCTTACCTGACCTATTTAACAACATCACATATTTACTACTTTATCACATACTTACTACTTCAGTTATTACCTCACCTATTTTACCATCAGGCCTTTTTTTTTTACTACTTTACCTATTTTACTATATCTTCTTCTTCTTCGATCTTAATTTGAACTCGAGACTTTTTCGAATTTATCAACCATGAGCTTTTGCCGACTCGACCACGCCTCCATAAAATTAAGAATGCGTGTCAATTGTTTATGCGCCACTGACTCCGATTTCAGTTTGTTCTTTTTGGATTTGCTTCCATAGCCTTTGTCCAACCTAGAACAAACTACAAGTTGTTTAATTTTGGAGTTGTCTCTCATAGAAGAGTGGCTGTCCCCAGCTAACGCGCCAGATGAGCCCGAGGGTTTGTACTCGAGTCTTTTCGGTTTAGCAACCATGAGCTTTACCGACTCGACCACGCCGTTCTCTTACTATATGTAATGTTTTACACAATTTAAAAATTTAAAACTGCATAAAGAGTCTAGATCTAAATATTAGAGATAAGGGGTCAACACTTAAAACAAACATAATGGGAGGAAGCGAAAGGTTTGTTCGTTATTTTAAAAATACTAAATAGAAAATGCTGAGTTTGTTCAAATGTAAAAAAATCATAAGTATTGAAATAAATATTACCCATATATGTACGATCTCCCTCCTTCACTGGATGTCCGAGTTACAGACATTTTTACCTGATCCAATTTAGGTCGAGCTTTAACATAAACTAGCTTACCCCACTACTCCAGCTGCACTTATCCATATCGAGAATTTTTCAAACACTAACATAATCGTGTACAAAGATTTTTAAGAACAAGCAAAAAAATAATATCGTTGAAATAAACAATATTTTATTACCTTAGGCGCAGTGGAATTTATTGCGTAAATGTGTATTACTGGGAGAGAGACAAAAAGAACTTTTTGTTGTGATTCGCATAAACGAACAGATCTCCTATCCCATCCAGCTCCGTCTAAGTAGAGACCGAAAACGTAAACACCCTCCTGCAATCACAAATGTTAATCTTCGTTGAATCACTAGGGGTCAATTGTTAAATTGATGGTGGTTCGTGCATTTCCTACTAAATTTTAATTTTCTTTTAACGATTACTATGCTCAATTCATTAATTAATTTACAGACACACGCGCAACGAGTAGGCCAAATAAAGTTATCCATGTGAGATGCATGGACTCTCCATATCTAGTTCTACACACTAAACTAACGCAACTTTTTATGAGGTTTTCACAAAAACATTACTTATCGTGTATTTTTAGACGTGTTTTCCATAACAGAATTAATTAAATGTAAATAATAAATGTCGGTACTTTATTTCTTGGGTTGGAGCGCGGGTTTGTCGACACTACCATCGAGACGTTACAGAGAGTGCCGTAAGCTAACCCTCAGTTTACGTTAATCCTATTCCGCGATAGTGAAGGGGAAAACCCTTTGGTTGAGGCCCAAGTGTTAAGGGCGTACCAGGGCTCTTGTGAGCCACCGGTTACAAAACTGCAATGTGACGGGTTCCAAATTTAGGCATCGAATCTATGAGCTCGACGTATCCCGGGAGGTTGCTATTTTCATCACTACACGGTTCAGCACCAAGAGTTCCACTTGGAACTTGGTATCCGTTAATCGAGCGTCCTGTATAGCGGTAAAAGGGATCCTACAATATTCAGCGTTGAAACTGCAACAGACGCAGACGTTCTGGTGATTACTTGTAACGAAGCGCCCTGGGCTCCCTTGTGAGCACTATGGCGCCTATGTTCATTTTAAACATCGCAATAGACTAAGGGTACAATGGGTTGCTTTAGTCACTCACTAAATCGAATCAGGTGCGTCCTCTAGCATCCCGCAAGGTGCTATTTGATTCCCCGGGTTTTCCTTGAGTGCTATGGTGCATACGTTCGTTTTAAAGAGTGCGATGGAATGGGGATAAATATGGAGTATTATAGACTCAGATGTGATTTGGCGCCCTGGGCTATCCAGTGAGCACTATGGCGCCTACTATAGTTTTAATGAGCATCCTATCTTTTTGACACGGTGGCACACGACATTTGCTGATTAAACAGAGCAAGGGTCCGTGAATAACGTACACTCAAGGCTTTCATACACCAAGCCCTTTTGCGTGCTGGGCGGGAGCGTAAGTGGTCGTTCATAAAAAACGTCACACTCGTAGAGGAAGGGAGGGGTCCGTAAATTTGCGACGGTGTGTGATGAGGGGGAGGGGGGGGGGGGTTCAGATGGTTGTGACATCCCACTTGTGCATTATAAAAAAGCAATGTTAGAAAACTAATTTTAGCAGTTATTTCGGGTTATAGAAAACTGTTTTAATATTTTGTAATAGGAAGTGATTAAAATGGTCTATGTTGATAGGGTTCAGACATGATTTTTGAAAAATATCGTATTTTAAGAAAAATTCAACCTGCAATTTTTAGGGTATGGGGGTTGTAGGCTTAGGTGTCACGTCATTTTAGGGGGGTATGGCTTTTGTGGCGATGTGTGAAGGAGGGGAGTGGGTAGGTAAAAATCGTAAAAAAAGCATGAAGTCATGTACGGATGACCCTTAAGCAAACCCCTGCCCCAACAAATATGATCCAAGAAATGTAGGGCAGGTATTGTTTACATTTAAATAACTCAGTTTTAGAAAACATCGTCACGCATCAAAGAATATAGGATAGGTAACGCATTGATGAAACCCTCTTAAAATATTTCGTCAGACTTTCTTCTAGCCCGCGGCAACTTAGTCACGGGAGATAATTTAAAAATATAGGCCTACAAACTACTATCACATTTCTTGAAATAGCAAAAAACAAGTAAACGTAAATTAAATCGAAGTTACTGCCTATTGGTACTATATTCTTACTGATAATTTCTAGGGTGCAGGATAGTACATAATAGTAGTTCTACCAATAAAACAAACATATATTTTACATTGGAAAATGTACAATGGATTTTGGGCCCTAACCAGCGCAACAGAGAAGCAGCATATGTCATGAAAGTGGTATATATATCTAGCGGCTTCTCGAGCAATGAACTTAGATTTTTTTATAGAATTAGTCGACGACAGCGTACATTAGATTGTAGGAGAGAGAGATCTCGGCCTTAACAATGTCGGTATGGTAGTTCCGCCCCTGACTTTTATATTGCGTCCTGGTGGAGGGGACTGAGGATATAAACCCACCACCAACCCTCCTTGGAGAGCTGCCTGAAAGAAACTCTGTAGGCAGTTCTCTAATCAGCTAGATAAGAAACGTTCGGAACAACATGTAGATAGCATTATACATACTGCAGGGCTTGTGTTTATGTCTTCCTTAAAAAATCTGGTGACATCATTGTGCAATGTTACTGTATCGAGTGCCCAACCTTTGTGAGCCCTCGTCACTTCTTGCCTCATAGCAGTCAAAAAGCCTGAAAACAATTTAAAACTAAACCTTATAAGTATGCACAATAATGTGTGTATGCCTGCAGAAAAAAAAGACTACATATCTTTGAGAGATTACACAAGTGTTAGAACTTAAAGATGAAGTGGACTGTGTTGTTTGTCAGTGGCGGATGAGGAGATGAACAGCCAAGGTCCCGAATTTTAGGGGCTCTCAAAATTATATAAATTCCGTATCTTATGAACAGTGTTTCTTCCAGACTTTTTTCTCCGGGGGGCGGAAACTGTTAAAGTGATGCCTGGAAGAAACTCTGCTTATGAATTGCTTTAATCCATTCATATTATTAAAAGTTTCTTGCAACAAAGACCAAAGTTTTAGGAAAAAATTCACAGCTTATAATAAAAAAAAAAAAAGTGGTTTTTTTTTAAAGACCATCTTGACTTGCATTAAAACTCAAATGGTAGCTGCAGTGAGGCTATTAATAAAACAGATAGTTTTATTTCCCCTCTACATTTTGTCAGCTTCCCAACCCCACATATATTTGCATAGAATAGCTAACACATTTCATCTAAAAATCTGTACATTATTTCGTATCGAACATCAAAGTCATAGCTAATAATTTTTGTAGCGTTTGAAAGCTAAACATCATAGACCGAGCTAATCTTATTTTTACTGTCAGCTATTATTTAGTTCACAATATCTGTTTGTGGGTTGAAACAAATCTTGTAACATAATTTAAACCCATATTCTAATATTTCTAATTTCATTTGACCTTATATATTAGGATATATATATATATATATATATATATATATATATATATATATATATATATATATATATATATATATATATATATATATATATATATATATATATACGATTAGGTGCCGTACCGGGTGACACACGACCTAGAGGCGCAGTGATGCGAACAAACTAGTAAAAACAAATACATGTGCCGATCATCTTAACACTCTTGAAGTTATGTGAGGATTTATTTTCTTTACCTTTCTTCAAATATTTTCTTTCATATAAATGAATAGGGTTTCTAAAACAGTCTAACATTATGTTCATCTATACAAGTTCCATTAGAAAGATATAACATGCCAACTTCATGCTCGTTAGGATATATCAGAAAGAAAAATAAAATGGGAACCTGTAGAGTAACCTCAATTAATCACAGTCAAAAGTGGAACAGGAATCGGTCTGGAATCACCCTCCACTATTGAGTAAGACACCAAATTCTCTTTTCTTCTTTAACAAATATAGAAAAGAAATGTGTCTCTAAATACTTGATTTTGTTTTACTTAAACAGCTCGGGGGTCCTTGAACCTTGTCTACCTTGTTACATGTTTGTTACCCCACTGATAGGTATTTAATGAAGTAATATAGGACAGAGTATAATGTCTTGTTGGGGTATTTGTGTTAATTTCCAGTGCTATTGATTTTACATATAAAGAGTAGAGTAAGCAAATACCTAAGGTATGTAAAATTGTCTGAAACGGTATTAAAGTTAATATTATTTGTATTTTTTATTATCTACATTTAACACTTAAATTTAATATTTACCGTACCTTAAATAACTAATAGGCATGTTTATTTTCTGAGAATAAATAATTTTCAACTTTCAGTATGATATTTAACGTTTTTTAGTTTTATACCAAACTTACTAATATAAAGTTTATAACACGCAAAAGTATCAACATGACGGCAAAATTGAATGTACAGCATTAGAAGATTGTTGAACCAGAATAAATAAAAGCATCTTTCATGTCATTATGTTAAACTTTAAATGGCCGGTGTGAGCTAGTTAAAAAAGTCTGATTAATTAGATGTTAATTTTTTTGTAAAAATGCAATTTTAAACAACGTAAAATACAATACCTTGAGGGTTAAAAAAGCCTGTCATCCAAAACAAATTTGGTCGTCCAGTGAAAATCCATGTTGAAAACTGGCTATTTCTCTCAAGCAGTTCAGTGAACCAAAATCCTATAGTAGAGCTTTGCCACGAGAACTTGATCCATCGTTTTGGTACTCTGGCGTCAAACAAATTGTCCAGGGCATCACGCAGTGTCTACACAATTCAACACAAATTTAAATTAAAATTCTAAAAATGTTTAAAAATTTTCACTCACGTTTCATTAATTTATAATCGATTGACTGAAAAAGATTTTTTTAAGCTTTTATTTTAGTTCACAAAATCTGTCTTTTATTTGCTGGTTAGTGCGTTGTGGGAAATCTTGTAACTTAATTTTGATTCACTTCTGATGCAGCGATTTCTAGACACATACGTCTCCAATGACAATGCAAAAATATCTATTTTTATCTAATTGGGCATCAAAGTTAGTCAATAAAATTTGAATTAAAAATTACTAAATTCAGTAAGAAGAGGAATAAAATAAAGATCAAATACTAGCGATAAAATTGTGTCTGTATTCATACTATTTGTCTCTATACATTACTGCACATCCAATCGCCATTAAACTTTGGAAAATTTGAAAATATTCATGGGAAGTTTTCTGCGATAAAAGAACTAATTTCGTAGGACGGCGACCTAGCGGCTGGCCTATTACCTGAGATCTGTTCTTTGGCTGTCCTGCAAGGGGTCAGGGGTACCACATGATTCAGCGGTCTAATTGCATTAGTCTCCGGGGTAATAGACGGGCTGGTGAGACGTCGGGAAGGTAATGTCCTAAACCTAGTTTTGGCATCCAAAGCAGTTACACTCTTTAATAGCTCTCTAACTGCTATGGAACGAGCCCCGTTAGGAAAATAAAGACCAACAGCATTCTCCCATAAGACTAGAGAATTGTAAAAATACTCGAGGCAAATCCGACGAACCAACTATTCGCCGCCCACGTCGTTTGAGCATTCAGTGATTATGAAAATCCTAAGGTTTTGAACAACAATCATCAAACATATAAATGATGGCGGTAAGTCAAACAAAACAAAAAACCGAGCGAAAAACGGTCTGTCTGCAATATACTTGAAGAATGTGCGTCTTGTAAGAAGAAGTTTCTGAAAGAAATTGCGATATCTTCAAAAGCTTTTCTCTTGAGGTACTATATGCTTTATATCGACAGGACGGAGGAGCTGGTAGAGTCATGCTAACATAGTTTCAGTGTATTTTGAAGAGGCTTCATACAACACCTCTTCTGAAATATTCAAAGGTGCCAGTTCAGTCCGATTAGAATGACCGCGAAAGAAGAGGGTTGATAGTACGTTCATCATAGACTGACCCAGAACGAGATGGTCGATGATACGCCGTAGAGGAAGTTAAAGATAAGACAAGGGTGAGCGAATGTAAGGTAGCCGCTGGACCAACAGACTGTGGAAGAACGGTATGTCTACATCTATAGTTTGTTATAAAACCCAACCTGATAGTAATTAGAATACACGTTAACTACCTCGCTCATTATAATGGTTCCTTCAACTGCAAGCTTTAAATCTATTAATGTATTCCTCACAATAGTTATAATCTTTTGCATCCTGTCTATTTCTTGACGTAAAAATATGTTCAGTGGTTGGAGATGGCCCATTTTTTTCAGTTGCGCTTTCACCTAAAAATAAATTTTAATTAATACAGTTAATATTAGTAATACAATTTTAGTTCATATACGAGAGTAAAAAAATAAATAAAAATAAATAAAAATAAAATAAAAATTAAGAACGAAGAAGAAGATATAGTAAAATATGTAAAGTTAGCTGGGACAGCTACTCTTCTAGAAGAGACAACTCCAAAATCAAACAACTGTTTGGACAAAGGCTATGGAAGCAAATCCAAAAAGAAAAGCAGTCTGAAATCGGAGTCAATGGCGCATAACGTTTTAATAACAAGCTTTTATGTACTAATGCACTAAAAAGTAGAAAATAAATTATAGACTACTATTTAAATAACTATAAAGAAAAGCGGGGTTCACTTTAGAGCCTATTGGATACCTTTACCAATGTTTAGGAAGAGACACACGCGCATATATATATATATATATATATATATATATATATATATATATATATATATATATATATATATATATATATATATTCTAGACACATACGTGTATATATATATATATATATATATATATATATATATATATATATATATATATATATATATATATATATATATATAATACAATACAATACAATACAATACAATACAATACAATACAACACAGCACAGCACAGCACAACACAACACAACACAACACAACACAACACAACACAACACAACACAACACAACACAACACAACATAACATAACATAACATAACATAACATAACATAACATAATATAATATAATATAATATAATATAATATAATATAATATAATATAATATAATATAATATAATATAATATAATATAATATAATATAATATAATATAATATAATATAATATAATATAATATAATATAATATAATATAATATAATATAATATAATATAATATAATATAATATAATATAATATAATATAATATAATATAATATAATATAATATAATATAATATAATATAATATAATATAATATTATATATATATATATATATATATATATATATATATATATATATATATATATATATATATATATATATATATCGATGGTCTCGGTCAAAAACCGTCAAACTCCAAAAATGTAAAAAAAAAAACTTATTATTTCATTGTTGATCATTCTAATACAAATTTAAAAAAAATGATATGTGCGAAGAACCTCTCTATCGACGATACTGAAGCGTTTTAAAATGAGTTTTGTTAATATTTACAAAATTATAACCGGTTTAAAAGATAGTCGGTTTTGTTCGGTCTAAAGTTCTAAAGCTCTCGCTGCCAAACCGTATATCTGTGCGCGCGCAGACCAGTGTTTCTTCCAGGCTTTTTTCTCCGGGGGGGGGGGGGGGGGGCACTTGAAATATTCGGGGTATGGGGGTGGGTGGGTGGGTGGGGGGTAGACTTTCTTCGGGGGGGGGGGAGGCGCAGACTTAGCTGTTTTGAACCGAGAATTTCGGTCTTAGCCACGTTCGTTCGTTTTGTCCAATGAACGTGATTTAGTTATGTTTATGTTTTAAAGTTGTAATTAACACTTTATAATATTTAGATTATAATTTTGGGCTCATATTTTAATTATTTGAGTTTATTCTACTTTATGGGATTGGTTTAATTTTAGTACAGATGTTTTAGCATGGCTTTATCGCTTTCGACTGTTTATTCATTATGGCTGTATCTAGCAATAGACTTGTTAATTTTTGAAAGTTGTGCTTTATTTATTACATGTTTCTATTCTCACAGTTTATTTTACTTAAACTGGCGGGTGCTGCGTTTGAAGAATGATAATGCTGTCAGATGAAAGAGACATTACACATTAACTACATTAATAATGACATAAGGTTTACTTATTTTAAAAAATGCAACCAAATTAAAAAAAGTGTTTATTTTTAAATTTATTCTTTAAATAAACGTCACATAAAGGAACATTAAAATGGCATCATTTTTTTTTAAAAATGAGACAAAGCATTATATAAATGTCAGAGGCGGAACTAGAAAAAATGGCCACACCGCAAAAAAATTTTGTTATGGGGGGGGGGGGGATTCCCCAATTGGGGAGAGAGAGAGAGAGAGATGGTAAGATGGTATCTTATTCTCTCTTATCCGTGCACCTTTGTGTGTTGACAAAGGGGTCTAATAGACCTGAGCAAAACTAATTAACATCTATACAACACCAATATTAAACTAAAAATGAAACTTAGTAACACATAGTTCATACATTTATTTATCTTCATTTGACGTCACAAAGATATAGGCCTATATGTTAAAAGCAAAAGCAAAAGAAACAAAACAAATTAGACCTGGCCAGTCTTTCATATTCAAGAAAACATCACTTGAATTTCTAATACAAGTGAAAAAGACAAAAATAAGCAAACTTACATTTCGATGCGGAATTATTCACCGTAGTTACTGACATTAATACATAGAAAACACAAATATAAGTGTGGATAGCAAACCTACATTTACACAACTCAGAATTTATACATATGAATGTCATTTCCTCTAGTCCTAACTTAACTACTTGCACTGCTTATGTAATCTCAGAATCACACGGGTAAATGCTGTTCTTCCTAGTTCTAATTTCACTTGTACTGCTATGTAATATCAAAATCAAAAACGTAAATCAAGCACGGTTAAAATACTTCTATGAATACTTATCAGTACTCAAAACAATCTAGCTCGACACTCAAGCGGCATGAAGTTTTCCAGCCACTGGAATAAAGCATTTGGCCACTGGTACAAACATCGGGCCACAAAGACAACAGCCACTGGAACGAATAACATATCTACACGGCAGACGTTTGGCCACTGGTACATTGGCCACATGTATAAACATAGGTCACATATGTAAAAATCTGGAACGAAGCACATATGTACAGGAACAAAACATCGGCTGGGCCAATAAACCAGCCTTAGCGGCCAGCCCTATAGGCTGCCACCATCCGAGGCCTAGACCATCGTGTCTAGCCTATGTGTGTGTAGGAGAGAGACCTCAACATAGTCGCCCTTCATATATAGGCTAGTCGAGCCCCCTTTATCATCTCCCCAGAGCTATAGAATCCGAGTCGGGCTCCGTACCATCCCTCGACGTTCAAGATAACACCGGTCACTGTGCGCCCATGCGTTGCACACCCGATAATTGACCACTATAGATCGTCCCGCTGTCTCAGGGCTAACGATCGTGTCATACACCGCTCGAGCTAACGTACGGCCACACGGGACTCCCGCCGCGCCTTACACCTGACCACAACAGAGATCATGAGTAATGATTCTACCGAGACGTCCAGCGGCATGTCCGAACTCAACTTTAGACATAAATCACCGCGGGTGTCTTCCCATCATTACGTGTCACTCATGCATCTGCATAGAGCTCGTAGCCCTTAACGACCAAAGTGAGCCGATAACATTTAATTAAATTTTAGATTTCCCCTGGCCTGCTCATCCCAATATCTTAAATTAACCCCTTGGGTTTCTGTAACTAGTCCTAGTTACCTAAGCCCCTTTAATAAGCTTCCAAGTTACCATTTTACTTAAAAATAAACAATATAGTACCAGCAAACTTGCTTACTTAAGAATCAACAATAGAGTACCAGCCAACACACACACACACACACACACATATATATATATATATATATATATATATATATATATATATATATATATATATATATATATATATATATATATATATATATATTTATATAGTTCATTTAGCAAAACGTTGATCTTTTAAAAGTAGGCTATATATGAAAAAAATTAGATAAAATGTAATTTGTATTTTAATAATTATCATTAAAAAAGTTTAAAAAAACCCACGTTTTCTGATTGAACTAAAAAGTAGAAAATAAATGCTATACATCACAATAATGCAAGCGATCACTCTACTATAAGCGATGAAAAACGTGGGGCGCCGAAGTAAAAGTTTTTTATCGGTCATTGTTAATATAAGATGTAAAAGTTATATTACTATTGATTAGATAATACTGTTGAGTTTTATTAGGGAGCTTGTAGAGAGTCAACAGTATTAAAAACTGTAATAAAACCACGGCGCCCCACGTTTTTCATCGCTTATAGTAGAGTGATCGCTTGCATTATTGTGATGTATAGCATTTATTTTCTACTTTTTAGTTCAATCAGAAAACGTGGGTTTTTAAAAACTTTTTTAATGAAAATTATTTTCTACTTTTTAGTCTTTGTCTGTTTGTTTGCATTCAAATCTTGCTATCGATTTTATCTTCTCGCATTCACTTTTTTTTTGGGTAAACGAAGACAACTCGTAAAAAAACACGTGCCTTTTCTAATCGACCTTTTTTCTGTGTTGCCGTTTCTTTCACCGTTGTTTGTACACAAACACCGCGTGACCAGTACTCAGTAAGTCAAAAGAGGGAGAGTACCGAACCTTGTTTTCATCAAATTACAATTACTAGGTTATGTCCCTTTTTTGTACAATTATATAGGGGCCTAAAATGATCAATAAAAATTTTCCATGGATCAATTTAGTAATAATAACAATTGAATATTCTATTGTCATCGGAAACAAAGCTTCCCTGAAAATTTCAGCGCGCTAGCTAACTAAGAAGTGCCCGAAATTTCGATCGCAAGATTTGATTGGAGAACCAAACAAACTAACAGACGCGAAAGCAAGTTAAAGAAAACGTGGGAAAATAAAAAAAGGGTCCCGCGAACCGGATCCAAACCAGTGACCTAAGGATTGCTCCAATATATACAAACACAAAATACGAACATAGGATACTCTTTGCTGGCCTGTTCGGGTTTTGAAATATGTTTTTTTATCAATTAAAATAAATTACAACGTCATGTCATGTGTGTAAGTGCATTAGTGTGTTTTGTGTTTTGTATTTTATCTCTGCTTTTAGACCTAACCGCAAGACGGTCAAAAGAATATAAAACATGAAAGCTTGGTATAAGTAATGGTGTCTCGTGTTATGTTTATTTTTATGTTTTTTTTTTAATTTATATTATTAATTTGAAATACATTTCCTTTTTGTACAATGTCATTCTTTAGTAAGTACTTTATAAAATAAACCGGGAGTGATCTCCCCTAAACTTTCTCGAATATTCTAATATAAAACTACGAGGGATGGCAACTCGGGACATAGACAATATTTGTAATCCATTTTTAATTACTTAAACTTTTTATAATAGAATAGAATCTCGTAAAAAAAAGAATTGCACACCAAGTGAACGCCTAATAAAATGTGCATAATAGTGCGGGATATTATTAGTACTTTATAAATTTACATGCGTTGTTTGAGAAATCGGAAATAGCGTTAATTAGTACTTCCGGTTAACGGAAATTACTCAAAATTTGACAGAAGGTAGAGAATTAGATCTTTTACTTACATGTGAAATTTAATTTATCTATCTGAAATAGTACTCAAGTTATAGGCTTTTGAAAAATTCAAAGTAGAAAAAGTACCACTTCCGGTTATTGGAAATCGCTCAAAAGTTTATACGGATCTACGATTTTGATAAAATACTTATATATGAAATTTCATCAACCTAGCTGTAACGGTACTCAAGTTATCTGTTTACACACACACACACACACACACAGACAGACACACACACAGACAGACACACAGACATACGGACAAGATTGCAAAATTATGTTTTTCCGTATCAATGAGGTGTAAAACGTCGAGATTTGTAAAAATCTCGATTTTTTTTTTTTGCACGATTACAAAACTTTCTCTATACTTCGTATATACGAGAAACTAAAAAATAATAATTAAGAGAAGTAATTGCTTTTTAATTTGTTTAGTACAAATCTATTAAAAGGAGCTTATGAGAACCCTTATTTGACTATTTAAAAAAGGGAAATAAGTCATGGAAGTGGTTTGAACGTTTGCTTATCTTTGATAAGTTTGATTGTAGGAGAAAGAGGACTCGACTTTCACAGTGGTTTAAAAACAAAGGGAAAAAGAATATACAAGAGCGTGGGTTGATGTATATAGAATAAAGATAATACAACCGCAGCTACGGTAATCTTTTTACAAAACAACCATCAAATAAAAAATGCAAGATAATTTTTATAAAATTTAACTATAATTTTTTTTAATTATGGTCGGCTGTGGGCCTCTAAATGTCCTGCCCCCCCCCCCTGATAAATGTGTATGTATGACTTGCTTTTAGGTGCTTTTATATGACAGCTTTTATCTTTATTCTGCTCATGTACAACTGGTCAAGGGCTACAGGTGCGACCATAAGGTTGCGACCCTAGTTTAGCAATTGCCAGCTATCTGCTAATTGTTTTGAAGTAGATAGTAGCATCAGGGCATCAGGGTTGTACTGTAGTACATGACTATGTGTCCCGTTGCATTCTTAATAGGTCTGACTGGTTTGTTGAAAAAGGGTGGTGTCTTATATAGTAAGACTAGTGTGTTGAGGCTGGTCTGTTGAGAGTGGCTGGTTTGTTGAGAGAGGCTCGTCTGTTGAGAGAGGCTGGTCTGTTGTATGGTAAGACTGGTCTGTTGAGACAGGCTGTTCTGTTGAGAGAGGCTGGTCTGTTGAGAGATGCTGGTCTGTTGAGAGAGGCTGGTCTGTTGAGACAGGCTGTTCTGTTGAGAGAGGCTGGTCTGTTGAGACAGGCTGTTCTGTTGAGAGAGGCTGTTCTGTTGAGAGAGGCTTGTCTGTTGAGACAGGCTGTTCTGTTGAGAGAGGCTGGTCTTTTGAGAGAGGTTGGTCTGTTATGTGGTAAGACTGGTCTGTTGAGAGATGCTGGTCTGTTGAGAGAGGCTGGTCTGTTGAGACAGGCTGTTCTGTTGAGAGAGGCTGGTCTGTTGAGAGAGGTTGGTCTGTTATGTGGTAAGACTGGTCTGTTGAGACAGGCTGTTCTGTTGAGAGAGGCTGGTCTGTTGAGAGATGCTTGTCTATTGAGAGAGGCTGGTCTGTTGAAACAGGCTGGTTTGTTGTATGGTAAGACTGGTATGTTGAGAGCATGCTTATTATTTATTGAACTGAATAGCCATATCAATATTTGGCCATTAATATCGAAATTAATCATACAGGCATTTACCAAAGACAACTAACCATGTCGTTTAAAATGTAACCCAAACATTTTGTGACCTACCATATAAACATTTCTTAACACGTAGCTAAACCCTCACTCTAAAGATAGTAGTGAATTTAAAAATAATTAAATTTTTGCACAAGCTTGTGGAAATATAATTCGAACAATATTGTTTTAATTGATCTCTAGATTTAGATTCTAGAATGAAGATCTAGTTTCAAAGCATTGTGTTGCCTAATAAAAATGTAGACAATCAGTTTGGATCTCGAAAATGTACTGGAAATAGGCTATATTAAACAAATACTCTTTGTTTATTTTTTTTATGATAAAATGTAACAGAATAAATGAACATCATTAATCAAATATCCTTACCTATAATTACTTTGACTGCTGTGGTGTAAAATCCTGTGATTGCAGCGTGCGACTGCGTTTCCGATCAAAAGTGTACTGACAAATATAGCGATATTCGTTTTGCGACAAGATGTTTAGCGCTTGCAATAATAGGCGGTTTGTTCTAATGATTATATTTTGATAATCATTCTACAGATTTCTATAATATTTATAGATATTATGGGGAATCATACTGGCTATTGATTTATGTAAAAAAATATGATTTTTTTTTGAGATAGACGGGTTTTGACCGAGATCATCGATATATATATATATATATATATATATATATATATATATATAATGCTGGAAAAATTTGAACCCCCTTATGAGGCGATCCTGGCCACTGTATTAAATAATATAACATCCCTATCACCACATCACCCTTACTCTGCTAAAATTAAAAATAAAAGTGTATGCTAAAATACTAATATATTACTAGTATTTATTTGTTTGACTATATCTAGCCTTAATAAAATCGGAAATAACTTTGTACTTATTACACAAATACTTAATTTTGGTTGAAAAATATGCTTTCTGGCAACAAAAATTTGGAACCATTTGGAACCAGTTGTTCATACCTATAGTGGATTACAACGATATTTGTAACACTACTAGTCTAGTCTAGTCTAGTCTAGTCTAGTCTACTCTAGGCTAGGCTAGGCCAGGCTAGATTAGATTAGATTAGATTAGATTAGATAAGTTTAGATTAGGTTAGATTAGATTAGATTAGATTAGATTAGATTAGATTAGATTAGATTAGATTAGATTAGATTAGATTAGATTAGATTAGATTAGATTAGATTAGATTAGATTAGATTAGATTAGATTAGATTAGATTAGATTAGATTAGATTAGATTAGATTAGATTAGATTAGACTAGACTAGACTAAAAATAGTTCTCCATGCTTTTTTTCGTACATCGCACGGAATGTAATATAGAGTCAGTTTGCCTAGTGTTTGAACGGGTCTTAGAAATCATACTTACATCCCACGGAATGTAATATAGAGTCAGTTTGCCTAGTGTTTGAGCGTGTCTTAGAAATCATACTTACATCCCACGGAATGTAATATAGAGTCAGTTTGCCTAGTGTTTGAACGGGTCTTAGAAATCATACTTACATCGCACGGAATGTAATATAGAGTCAGTTTGCCTAGTGTTTGAACGGGTCTTAGAAATCATACTTACATCGCACGGAATGTAATATAGAGTCAGTTTGCCTAGTGTTTGAACGGGTCTTAGAAATCATACTTACATCCCACGGAATGTAATATAGAGTCAGTTTGCCTAGTGTTTGAACGTGTCTTAGAAATCATACTTACATCCCACGGAATGTAATATAGAGTCAGTTTGCCTAGTGTTTGAACGTGTCTTAGAAATCATACTTACATCCCACGGAATGTAATCAGCAGGAAGTTTGCCAAGCATTTCTTCTGCTAGCCTGTACACGACGGTTTCTCTCGTTTCTCCCCCACCGCCCGATGAATCTTTAGGTTGAATACTAATGATGGTATCGAGAACTTGTTTTGCAGTATTGGTCTGGTAACTGAAATTAACGACAAGCTTTTACAATTACACAAAACGAATTATATGAAGCGGGATCATTTAAGATTTCGTAAACAAAGGGTGCTTTCGTGTTGGTTGTCACAATGTTATGCTGTTGATTTTTACTATGAAATACCACACAATGCTTAGTAAATGTTTTGAAAAGGATCGGTTGATTCATTTTATGTTGCCTAAATAAAATTTAGAATAAAATTCCTCTAATTTTAGATGGCAGCAATGCGCCAAGTGTCCTCTAGTTAAATTTTGCATGTGATGTCTTAAGCCGAAACAGAGTTTTAATATCTCAGTAATAACAACTCAACAGCGTTTTCCGGTAACTGGAGGTGGTTTTTACTCTCCTTTCTGTTTCTCAAAAGTAGGTTGACAAAATTTTACACTAAGGTATTAATTTGTATCAGACTTCTATCATCTTACTCTATTTCCATGGTTTTTAGATATTTATTTGAGTACATTAGTATTATTTCTTAATGTCCCAATGCTTACTTGAAAATAAAATCTTGTAAACAGGTTTAATTATAAACATATTCTACACAATAGTCACTGATTAAAATGATTGCATATCATAATGACGCGTGCTTACGTAATGTCAGCATTAGGATGGAGACCCAGTGCTTCTGGCGAATCAACGGGGGGCAGCGCTTCAATGAAATCAAGTATTTCAGCCATAATACGATTTCGTGCTATTTTGTAGTTTTTGTAAAATTGAAAGCTGTCGTTAAACATGAAGTCTCCAAACCATACCTAGTAGATCAAAGAGGATAGTCGTCATTCACGAGCTACTGATAGTGTTTTAAAGCAAAATATTTTCAGTCGCAGCACAAATTATAAATTACATAAAAGTAGAAAATAAAATAACTAAATAGCGGCATATGTTTACGGCGCTGGTCAGCTCGTGTTCTTATATTCGGTAGGAGGATGAAACTTCCATGGCTATGGAAATGTTTTTACTTTCTTGTGTACTTTTTGTATTTTTAATACTTATATTTTCTAAACAGAATAAAATCTCGCAGGAAAGAGAATTTCGCACCAAAATTAAGAAAACAGTGTGAGTATAAAATAGCGTAATAAAACAGATAGTGTTGGTTACCTCACAAGTTAAAGACAGTTACAAGAAATATGGACGTTTCGACCCAAGGTCTTCACCAGCACACAACAGTGTGGTTACAGATGAGACAAATAAAGACAAACAGTAACAGATTTTTTTACTTAGCTGTTAGCTCGACAGTGAAAACACGTCTTGTCTGCTAGCCACGATATCCAAAAGAAGAGACGCGTGAGAAGGACAATTGGACACCGTATAGGGGTGGGGTTGGGGGCGTGGTGTATGCGGAAGGGGGGTTGGTTAGGTGAAAGATACCTGTTCATTCAAACCATCGGGTGCCCGTGTACCAAATTTTAGTATTAGTCGCGTTTCAGTGCTAAGACGATTTTTTTAAATTGTGGCAAAACCGAACGGCGGTTATACATAAGTCCTTTTTTAAGTCATGCCCACTCTTGTTAAAGTGTTTGGCCACAGGAAGACCGTCTTCATTGTTGATTGAACGAATGTGTTGGCTAACCCTGTCAGACAATCGTTTCCCCGTTTGTCCAATATAAAAGATGTTGCATCGCCTGCACTGGATGACGTAAACTACGTTACGGGACTCACAGTTGAAGTGATTTTTAATTTTGAGGGTTCCCTTTGGCAGCTGGAGTGATTCAACCTGAAGGGTGAAATGACAGGTATTGCATTTACGGGGACAAGGAGTGGTGCCAAATCTGGTGGTGGTAGTGGGTGGCAGGCGGCTGCGAACTAAAAGGTCTCTAAGATTGCGTTCCCTTCTATACACAACCAAAGATTCTGTTGAAATAAATGGCCTAAATGGGGGTCTGACTTGAGGATAGAATAATTTTTTAAAATGATATTTTTAGCCAAAACCGAATAAGGATGGTAGGGTAAGATGAGTTTAGTTCTATCTGACTTTTGTTTTGGAAATTGTTGAAGGGAGGCTTGGTGGTCAACAGTTCTTATGCGGCGTAGTGCTGACTGGAGTATATGCTCCGGGTATGACCGGAGTCGGAAGAACTTTAATAGCTCGTGGGGCTTGTTCCAAAAGTCGTCATCATCTTGACAAATACGTCGTAGTCTTAATAATTGTGAGAATGGTATAGAAATATCACAACAGTGTGGTTACAGATTAGACAAATAAAGACAAACAGTAACACATTTTTTGACTTAGCTCGACAGTGAAAACACATAACTGTGGGTTTCGAAGGTCATCAATAAAAAACATCACGTCCGTCACTTATCGTCACAAAATAACCAGACCCCACATTCAAAAAGATGTTTTTATCTTGTAAAAACACCGATTTCGGACTATCCCTTCATATACTGACGTCACATGTGACCTAATCAACTCTACTTCACCTACCCAGTGTCCCGCCAAGTCTCAGACAACATGTTTTTATCGTTTAAAAAAACGATTCCGGCCGAGCATGTCTCTGACCAAACTATCCCTTCATATGCGTAGGACAAAGAAACAGATGAACTCTACTTCATCTGCCCTGTATCCCGCTAAGTTCAGATAGTCAAATGTATCATTCAAATCTAGCTCGTTAGCTGGGGACAGCCACTCTTCTAGGAGAGACAACTCCAAAATTAAACAACTGCTGCCTTGTAGTTTGTTATTGGTTGGACAAAGGCTATGGAAGCAAATCCAAAAAGAAAAACAGGCTGAAATCGGAGTCAATGGCCTCAATGGCGCATAATCAGTTGACACGTAACGCTTAATTGTGTTGGAGGCGTGGTTGAGTCGGCAAAAATCTCATGGTTGATAAATTTGAACAAAAGTCTCGAGTTCAAACCCACTGGCAGATAAATCTCGATCCCCTTCAACACTAATAATTAAGAACGAAGAAGAAGAAGAAGAATTCACATCTAAAAAAAATAATTGAAAAAAAATATTTAACATTGACGTGATATGTCTAGAACCCGATGTTTTTTGTTCATGTTCATGTTTGCCTGTCGTCCCTACTGGGACATAGGCCGCTGACAAGAGCTTTCCAGACGTCTCTGTCCTGGGCTAGTCTCTCCAACTGTCCCCAGGTCAGTGGCGTAGCGAGGTCGGGTGTCACCCGGTGCGGCACTTAATGGTGTCACCCCCCCAGAGGCATAGAGACCCTTCCCAGGGACAAACTTTCAAATTTTCGATTTGCACCCCCCCCCCCTCAAGTTTTCGATTTGCACCCCCCCCCCCTCAAACTTTCGATTTGCACCCCCCCCTCGAGTTTTTCTCTATATATTTTGCTGTTTTTTGCCTTGGTGTCACCCCCCTAAATGGTGTCACCCGGTGCGGTCCGCACCCCCCGCCCCCCCCCCCTCGCTACGCCCCTGCCCCAGGTGTATCCAATCTTCTTGGTGTCTTCTTCCAGGTCACGTCTCCAGGTCTTTCTTGGTCTGCCTCTCTTCCTCCTGCCTTGTGGATTCCAGGTGAGGGCCTGTCTTGTTATGCTGGATACAGGCTTCCTGAGTGTGTGGCCAATCCATTTCCATTTTCTCTGGAGGATCTCTACTTCAACTGGCAGTTGATTTGTCCGTTGCCATAGAACATCATTTCTGATGGTTTTAGGCCAGCGAATTCGCAGGATCTTTCTGAGGCATGCGTTTATAAATGATTGTATTTTCTTCTTATTTATAGCAGTTATTCTCCATGTCTCGGCTCCATAGAGTAAAACATGTTTTACTAGTGTGTTGAAGATCCTGATTTTTATTCCAAGGGTTAAATCTCCAGAACCCCAAACATTTTTTAGTTGGTTGAACACTGCTCTTGCCTTACCCGTCCTTATTTGTATGTCTGCTTCTGTCCCACCCTGCTTATCAACAATACTTCCAAGGTAGGTGAATCTATCCACTTCTTCTAGGGCTTCTTCTGCCAGTGTTATAGGGTTGTTGTTTGATGCATTGACTTTGAGAACTTTACTTTTCCCTCTGTGGATGTTCAGGCCCAGGCATGTAGAAAAATTTGCAACCCTGTTGGTTTTATCCTGCATTTGCTGTTGTGTGTGAGAAAGGAGGGCCAGGTCGTCAGCAAAGTCCAGGTCATCCAGCTGGTTCCACAGTGTCCACTGTATACCGTTATGCGTTTTCTCTGTTGACATCTTCATAATCCAGTCTATGGCCAGCAGGAACAGGAATTGATGTTTTTGTGGTATAACTTAATACTATGAGTCTCCTTATGCAACTTGATTTACGCGCAAAGGCCCTATCTAGATCAAATTAAATTTTAGCCAATTGCATGCTAAACAAACAAAAATTTATATAAAATAATGAAGGTCTGAAATGGTTTAGTATAGAAACTCATTATTATCTAGATCTAGATCCTGATAGAATTATCTAGATTCTACGATTGGTTTGGTTAAGTCTTGTATTTTTCGTAACTCTAGAATCTAATTCTAAATCTAGATCTAGATCTAGATTCTAGATATAGAACCTAGATAGATAAATCACTTGTATTATTCTCGAATTAGATGATCCGTGAAGCTAAAAAGGAAAGATTTATATCAAATATTTAGGACTAAAAAAGTTTAATAAAGAAACTCAATAAATTATTCTGATTTTAAAATAATTCGGTTCGACCTAGATTCTAGATCTATAAATAACTTTCTTGGCCACCTGATAGTTAGATCTATAAATAACTTTCTTGGACAGATTGTAGAGCTAGAGAAATTTTTTGTAAAACTAAATGAAAGACAGTTGAAAATTGATATAATTGTTGGAACGTAATAAATACAGCAAGTTATAGCCGACAGAAAATTAGCTGTATAACGCGTTAAAGATTTGAATTGGCAACGAAATGTTGTATTCAAGCCGCCATTTTATTGTACTTAAAGTAAACAAATCATGTGACGTCACTATTCAGTCAAAGTAAAGCCATTCTTTGAAACTTTTATAATTAATGTGGTTAATGTACCAATGAATAAATCAATTAATTAATTAACGTCTTTAAATAAATTTGTGATTAACGGTCTGTCTGTAAACAAAAATTGTTCTCTACCTACATACAGCTCTACACATAATGCAGATTCTCTCCAGTAGCCAATCAGACAAACAAATAAATATTCAAACATGTAAACAAAGTTGAGTTTTAGTAGTGTTTGGATAGATGGGATGGGGACTATTTATGGTACGACTTAAAGTTTTTGATAGGCGGCAAAGGTTTTACTCTTTTGCATACGTCAACAAAAGAACTTAAAGAAAATATTAAATAGACGCACATTTCAAAAACATATTTAACGGATCAATGTCAAATAATAGTTTTGCTTAGATTCCTAGAAAAAAACCAATGGATTCATTTTAATAACAGTAGGGTCGAAAAAAACGAAATAGTTAAAATGTTTAATAATTATGCCAGGTGAGGTAATTTAAAAAGAAATTCAACTCAAGCTAAATATTGCTATTTAAGTCTATATTTATTATAATCAACGGAATGGTTAAATTAGACTTCAGTGTATGAATAAAATAAAAGAATGTATTTGTTAGTGGCGAGGGATATATTTTTCTCTCTGGGCCGGGAAAACATGTTGATCTTAGGCGGTTTACATTACACCACGGGGAAGGGGAGAATGGAAATCTGGGCGATATTTGATTTACCTGTGAGAGGTTTCTGATGAATGCAATGATCAGAATTACGGTTTCATACATACAACCAATCGGATTATACAGTCGTCAGAGGTTTGTTTATAACGATATTGCTTTTGATGACGTGGTTAAAGTAAACCTAAATGGAACGTGTTGGTGTGGGGTTTGGTCTACTCGGTGTGTGAGATGAATGTGTGTGTTAGGGGAATAAGAAGTGGTGACAGATGAATGACTGTTTGGGTTTTTGGGTAAATAAGTGCCGTGTTGCTGCGAGTTGTGGTAAAGGGTGGTATGGCTAGGAGAATGAGGTGTGGAGTGGAGGGGTTTGAGTTAGGTGTGGGACGGTATGGTGTTGGATTTTGTTTGGATTTCTGTTCATGTGTCTTAAGGCGATTTTATTGTGGTCGGCGTTGTTATTTAATGTATTGTACTTCCATTAAACTCTGTCTCTCTAAGAAGTCTAATTTTGAGTTAAAGCTAAGTACCTTCTGCAAGTTGAAAATTCAGTCATTGTGCTTCGTTTAATTGTGGTGGAAACTGGTGTGTATGTGTGAGATAAGTTATTGTATGTGGAGGGTGAGTGTATTTGTGTGAAGTGATATGAGTGGGTTCTGCTGTGTGAGACATTGAAATGTGGGTCGCGTGGTGCTTGTATGATCTTGTTTATCAGTGGAGTATTTTTTGGTGTGGATCGGGGTGGTGGCGGGGTATATGGTGTGGTATTGTGTGGGCTTTGGCTTGGTATGGTGTGTGGTTCGTGGTTTCATGCGGGTGATGGTGAGATATATTATTTCCCATTCTTCTATTCTCTTCCATTTTCTCATTTTAATATCTGCAGTTCAAATCTAATTTACAGGATTTTAAAAAAGAGATGTTCTTTTGGATATGTTTTCACTAAAACGTATTATTTACATTTCCCACCGTGGCAAAGCACGGTATGCAGCTAGAATCTATTACAGGGTTCTCCAAACTACGGCCCGCGGGCCGGATGCGGCCCGCGAAGTCCTCTCATCCGGCCCGCAGAGATCTTTTTGTCCAAGGAAAACAACGTTTGTTGGTGATGGCTGAGGAAATTTGCCCAGAAAAATCACGACATAACTGGAAGAAACTGGCCACCGAACTGAAATTGGATAGTTAATGTGGCCCTCGGACTGAAAAGTTTGGAGACCCCTGATCTATTATATAAAGCTTAATTCTGTATGTTCCCACGTTTTCTTTAACTTGCTTTCTCTGTCTTTCCAATCAAATCTTGCGATCGAAATTTCTGGCACTTCCCAGTTAGCTAGCGCGCTGAAATTTTCAGGGAAGCTTTCTTTTGGATGACCATAGAATATTCAATTGTTATTATTACTAAATTGATCAATGGAAGCATTTTATTGAGCATTTTAGACCGCTATATAATCTATATATATATAATTCTCCTCTGCGAGCCATTAGAAAAAAAATGAGCGACGCGTAGCTCGCCTCTCTCTTGCCGCGCGCAGTGAAGCGAACGATCCCACGTCGCGACAGGCTTAGGGGCAGATAATTTAGTTTGAACCGACTTTAAACTTACAGGAGGTAACTATTACCACTGGTGGCCAGTTTGGGGGAGACGATAAATAAATACTATACATCACAATAATGCAAGCGATCACTCTACTATAAGCGATGAAAAACGTGGGGCGCCGTGGTTTTCTTACAGTTTTTAATACTGTTGACTCTCTACAAGCTCCCTAATAAAACTCAATAGTATTATCTAATCAATAGTAATATAACTTTTACATCTTATATTAACAATGACCGATAAAAAACTTTTACTTCGGCGCCCCACGTTTTTCATCGCTTATAGTAGAGCAGGGGTCTCCAAACTACGGCCCGCGGGCCGGATGCGGCCCGCGAGGTCTTCTTATCCGGCCCGCGGAGATCTTTTTGTCCACGGAAAAAAAAACGTTTGTTGGTAATGGCTGAGGAACTTTCCCCAGAAAATCAGACATACCTGGAAGAAACTGGCCCCCGAACTGAAAATTGATAGTTAATGCGGCCCTCGGACTGAAAAGTTTGGAGACCCCTGTAGTAGAGTGATCGCTTGCATTATTGTGATGTATAGTTTTATTTTCTACTTTTTAGTTCAATCAGAAAACGTGGGTTTTTTAAAACTTTTTTAATGATTATTATTTGTAATAAGTTTGTCGTGGATACTTAGATGGATTTAAGTGTTAGATAATTAAAGCGCTCATGGCCTAAATGCATGGTTTAAAAAATTAATACTGAAAGTGTTGGGAAATAATTTTCATTTTTCAAACTGATAGTAATAATTTTCGGCATTTACATTAAGCACACTTTAAAAAAAAATATCGTCTTTTACAAAAATTCTAATTATGTCTGAAAATTATTTATATATAGCTCTTTAGCACTTACTTCCCTTGGATAAATTAGGAAAACACAATTACTTCCCTTTATAAAACATTGCATTAGTGCAGGGGTTCCCTACCCTGTGCCCGCGGGCGCCATGGCGCCCGCTGAACGATTCCGGGGCGCCAAAATAGCACTCTGTCGGGGTGCCGGAGGACGTCCGGATTTGATTCACTTAAAGACTATAGTAACCTTTCTTATCCATAGTCTATCGCACTGTTTAAAACAAAATTATGCAGCATAGCTCTCACATGATAGCACAGGGTGCCAAATCGAACCGTGCAGGGGCGCCGGCGGACGCGCCTATTTCAATTTAGTGAAAAAAATGATAATACTCCAAGCTTATCCGTAAATGGAAAGAAATAAACATATAGGATTTGTAGGACCTGGCTTATTAAATGTTATTGATTAAAAAAATAATTATTGAACATTATGTTCAGTGTATAGAATAAATAAAAGGCAGTATTAAAAATACCAACGACATTGCACTTAATCAATCCCCGCTAATTATGTAAATTTTTTTTTCGTAACACCAAAACAAAGTAATAAAAAGTAAACTCTTTCTTCCCACGATTTAATAATTTTTTAAAGGGAAGTAACTGTGCAGTCAATACATTTCAGACACAATTTTAGAAATTTTATAAACATTGATACTCTTTTTAAAAAATGTATGTAATGTTCATAATTGAAAATTATTATTCTAAGTACATAAAATGAAAATTGTTTTTAAAGACTTTCAATAGTAATTTTTAACTCATAAATGTAGACTATGAGCACGATAATAATCAAACACTTAAATCCATCGAAGTATCCACGACAAACAAATTTATTTTTTACATACAGAATTGAGCTTTATATATTAGATTAAGCTTAAACAGGCGATTCCGCCGGCGCCCCTGCATGGGGCGATTTGGCGCCCCGGGCTAGACTGTGAGCACTTTGCGTTTATGTTCGCGTTTGTGTTTTCTTTGTGTTTAGGTTGGGTTTGCGTTAGTGGTTGGGTTTGCGTTTTGATTTTGTTCGTTTTCGTTCTTTCTTTTTAGTTTTCGTTTGTGTTTTTTTCTTTGTGTTTGTGTTATCGTTTATATTAGTGTTTGCGTTTATGTTATGTTTTCTTTCTTTATTTGTGTTTTGGTTTTGGTTGGTTGTGGTTAGGGTGGGCAATGCCGGGTATATGCTGATTACTAAACACACATGTCATGTTTCTTTACATATAGGTTTCAGAAAGCTCTTTTATAGACACCTGCACCAAACTACAAGAAGATATACAATTTTATATAATACTAGCCGTCCCGGTTTGTGTTGTGTTTTGTTTGTGTTGTGTTTTGTTTGTGTTGTGTTGTGTTTGTGTTGTGTTTTGTTTGTGTTGTGATTGTGTTGTGGTTGTGTTTGTGTTGTGGTTGTTTGTGTTATGTTCGCGGTTCTTTTTTGTGTGTTTTGGTTTTGGTTGATTGTGGTTAGGGTGGGCAATGCCGGATATATGCTGATTACAAAACACACATGTCATGGTCATTTACAGATAGTTTTTTTTACAGATGCCAGAGCAGGGCCTGGCCGGGACGGCTAGTATATATATATATATATATATATATATATATATATATATATATATATATATATATATATATATATATATATATATATATATATATATTCTAATATATATGTTCTAATGAAATGGCTGCATTAGAATATTGGTTTAAATTATGTTACAAGATTTGTCTCAACCCACAAACAGACGTTGTGAACTAAATAATAGGTGACAATAAAAATAAGATTAGCTCGATAGAGAGTATGCTAGGCTTTTAAAACTTACTCTTGTGAAAGTGTTGAGCAAACGTTTGTCAAAATCATCTGTGACTCTCCCACCATACTGGACTTCACCAATCATGTAGCGCACAGTTGGCCAGGAGATGCCCTACATTTTAAATTGAAATACCACAAGCAATTTTAGATTTGTTTGATATTCTTTTTTAATTATTGCTTGCTGCATAACTAATATATATTTAACTTCATTTATTTTATAATAATAAAATTGTTTTTTTTTCTTTTCTATAGAAAACATACTCTTTTGATATCCATATCATCTAAGTGGTTCTGTATAAACTGCACACTAGCACCCCAATCAGAAGTATTAAATTCATAAGGTATATTCCAACCCAATGGTCCAAACTTGCGTCGTTCCTTTAAATAAGCACATACGATGAGTTAATTAGTATTTTAAACATACCATCATGTGCATAGTTATTTTAGCTAATGCTTTTTCGAGCTCCATAAAGCTGCTCACCTGTACAACAGTATGTAGGAATGAGACAGTGTAAAGCAGAGGTCGCCACTGCGGTAAGTTAAATATGTCAATATATTCTTGGCTTAAAGATGTGTAAGTTCTTTTCAATCCTGCTTTGATTCCTTGAGGTGGGTCATTTGTAAATTTTGTGGAAATCTTGATTGTAAAAAAAGGATGTATAAATAAATAATAATTAAAAACGGTTCCATGACAAACGATCTCAGGTTAAATTATCTCAGACAAAATATCCCAGATAAAATATCTCCCAGACAAATGAAAACCTCATAATAACAAGTTTTTAAATTCACTGAAAATGAAATACGTCGATACATTACCATTAGTCTGCATCGAACGTAGAATCAGCCCCTATGTAACATAAGTTAACGTTAATAAATTACCTTTAGGCACAACCCCATAAGCTACACCCCCCCCCCTTTTACTCTTGTCGAAACATTTTCCGATTGCTTTTTACTTAATTTCTTAGTCAGACTCGGGAACCAACATTTTATCGATATCATTACAAACTACATACATTTAGAACTATTAAAAAGCAGGTGGACTGACACTAATGCTGTAAACGTGGTTATATTCTAGTTGTATTATTTGTCTGATGATTCTTTAATAATTATCATTAAAAAAGTTTTTAAAACCCCACGTTTTCTGATTGAACTAAAAAGTAGAAAATAAATGCTATACATCACAATAATGCAAGCGATCACTCTACTATAAGCGATGAAAAACGTGGGGCGCCGAAGTAAATTTTTTTTATCGGTCATTGTTAATATAAGATGTAAAAGTTATATTACTATTGATTAGATAATACTATTGACTTTTATTAGGGTGCTTTTAGAGAGTCAACAGTATTAGAAACTGTAAGAAAATCACGGCGCCCCACGTTTTTCATCGCTTATAGTAAAGTGATCGCTTGCATTATTGTGATGTATATCATTTATTTTCTACTTTTTAGTTCAATCAGAAAACGTGGGTTTTTAAAAACTTTTTTAATGATAATTATTTTCTACTTTTTAGTCTTTGTCTGTTTGCATTAAATCTTGCTATCGATTTTATCTTTCCGCATTCACTTTTTTTTTGGGGTAAACGAAGACAACTCGTAAAAAACACGTGCCTTTTCCAATCGACGTTTCTTCTGTGTTAGATTTGCATAGGTTTGTACACAAACACCGCGTGACCACTACTCAGCCAATCGCGTGTTCTCTCCTTCAGTAAGCCACAAGAGGGAAAGTACCGAACCTTGTTTTCATCAAATTACAATTACTAGGTTATGTCCCTTTTTTGAACAAATATATAGGGGTATAAAATGATCAATAAAATTTTTCCATGGATCAACTTAGTAATAATAATAATTGAATATTGTATTGTCATCGGAAACAAAGCTCCCCTGAAAATTTCAGCGCGCTAGCTAACTGGGAAGTGCCCGAAATTTCGATCGCAAGATTTGATTGGAAAAACAGACGCGAAAGCAAGTTAAAGAAAACGTGGGAAAAAAAACAGTACCTGCAACAACCCGATTGAAAAGGAATTATGGACTTCTGTAGTAATCCATAATCTAAATTTGGGTGAAATGGGGTCAGTTTCCAAAACTGTGGTCAAAACCTCCTCTAAGTAAAGTAAACAGAGATGGCAATTCTGTAAAAGTGCCCAGCCACCCTGCATAAAATAATGTCATACATTCATTATAGGTTGGAAATCTAAAAACACATACACATTTTATGGTTTTGGAGTAATATATGATGTATTTGTAAATACTTACGTATTCCATAAAATTCGAAATTAATTTTCTTGAATGAACTTCTTGACCTTGGCCCATTGAAATTGCATGAAAAGCTAGAGAAAAAAAAGAAGAAATAAGCTAAGTGTTATTGTTTCTTAGTGTACCATTATCTTTTTACCACGTGTACTGGTCTTGCAGAGCGCAATGATCTTTAACTTTAAAATGTGTAACAGTCTAGCAGGCCATGATCTTTTACTTTAAAATGTGTAACAGTCAAGCAGCCCATTATCTTTTACTTTAGAATGTGTAACAGTCTAGTAGGCCATGATCTTTTACTTTAAAATGTGTAACAGTCAAGAAGCCCATTATCTTTTACTTTAAAATGTGTAACAGTCAAGCAGCCCATGATCTTTTACTTTAAAATGTGTAACAGTCTAGTAGGCCATGATCTTTTACTTTAAAATGTGTAACAGTCAAGCAGCCCATTATATTTTACTTTAAAATGTGTAACAGTCAAGCAGCCCATTATCTTTTACTTTAAAATGTGTAACAGTCAAGCAGGCCATGATCTTTTACTTTAAAATGTGTAACAGTCTAGCAGCCCATTATCTTTTACTTTAAAATGTGTAACAGTCAAGCAGCCCATGATCTTTTACTGTAAAATGTGTAACAGTCTAGCAGCCCATTATATTTTACTTTAAAATGTGTAACAGTCTAGTAGGCCATGATCTTTTACTGTAAAATGTGTAACAGTCAAGCAGCCCATTATCTTTTACTTTAAAATGTGTAACAGTCTAGTAGGCCATGATCTTTTACTGTAAAATGTGTAACAGTCTAGTAGGCCATGATCTTTTACTGTAAAATGTGTAACAGTCAAGCAGCCCATTATCTTTTACTTTAAAATGTGTAACAGTCTAGCAGCCCATTATCTTTTACTTTAAAATGTGTAACAGTCTAGCAGCCCATTATCTTTTACTTTAAAATGTGTAACAGTCTAGTAGGCCATGATCTTTTACTGTAAAATGTGTAACAGTCTAGTAGGCCATGATCTTTTACTGTAAAATGTGTAACAGTCTAGTAGGCCATGATCTTTTACTTTAAAATGTGTAACAGTCTAGCAGCCCATTATCTTTTACTTTAAAATGTGTAACAGTCAAGCAGCCCATGATCTTTTACTGTAAAATGTGTAACAGTCAAGCAGCCCATTATCTTTTACTTTAAAATGTGTAACAGTCTAGTAGGCCATGATCTTTTACTTTAAAATGTGTAACAGTCAAGCAGCCCATTATCTTTTACTTTAAAATGTGTAATAGTCAAGCAGCCCATTATCTTTTACTTTAAAATGTGTAACAGTCAAGCAGCCCATTATCTTTTACTTTAAAATGTGTAACAGTCTAGTAGGCCATGATCTTTTACTGTAAAATGTGTAACAGTCTAGTAGGCCATGATCTTTTACTGTAAAATGTGTAAAAGTCTAGTAGGCCATGATCTTTTACTTTAAAATGTGTAACAGTCTAGCAGCCCATTATCTTTTACTTTAAAATGTGTAACAGTCAAGCAGCCCATGATCTTTTACTGTAAAATGTGTAACAGTCAAGCAGCCCATTATCTTTTACTGTAAAATGTGTAACAGTCTAGTAAGCCATGATCTTTTACTGTAAAATGTGTAACAGTCAAGCAGCCCATTATCTTTTACTTTAAAATGTGTAACAGTCTAGCAGCCCATTATCTTTTACTTTAAAATGTGTAACAGTCTAGCAGCCCATTATCTTTTACTTTAAAATGTGTAACAGTCTAGTAGGCCATGATCTTTTACTGTAAAATGTGTAACAGTCTAGTAGGCCATGATCTTTTACTGTAAAATGTGTAACAGTCTAGTAGGCCATGATCTTTTACTTTAAAATGTGTAACAGTCTAGCAGCCCATTATCTTTTACTTTAAAATGTGTAACAGTCAAGCAGCTTATGATCTTTTACTGTAAAATGTGTAACAGTCAAGCAGCCCATTATCTTTTACTTTAAAATGTGTAACAGTCAAGCAGCCCATGATCTTTTACTGTAAAATGTGTAACAGTCAAGCAGCCCATTATCTTTTACTTTAAAATGTGTAACAGTCAAGCAGCCCATTATCTTTTACTTTAAAATGTGTAACAATCTAGCAGGCCATTATCTTTTACTTTAAAATGTGTAACAGTCAAGCAGCCCATTATCTTTTACTTTAAAATGTGTAACAATCTAGCAGGCCATTATCTTTTACTTTAAAATGTGTAACAGTCAAGCAGCCCATTATCTTTTACTTTAAAATGTGTAACAGTCAAGCAGCCCATTATCTTTTACTTTAAAATGTGTAACAGTCAAGCAGCCCATTATCTTTTACTTTAAAATGTGTAACAATCTAGCAGGCCATTATCTTTTACTTTAAAATGTGTAACAGTCAAGCAGCCCATGATCTTTTGCTTTAAAATGTGTAACAATCTAGCAGGCCATGATCTTTTACTTTAAAATGTGTAACAATCTAGCAGGCCATGATCTTAAATTTTAGAATGTGTTGTCTCCCAGTGTGCCACAATCTTCTGCTTTAAAATGTGTGATGAACAGAGTTTCTTCCAGGCATCTCTTCGGGGGGGGGGGGGGGGGCGTACGAAGAAAGTCTACCCCCAAAAAATTCAAGTGCCCCCCCTCCACCCGAAAAAAAATGTCTGGAGGAAACACTGTTGATGAATAACTTAAAACGATATTCCTTATTGGTATTTTTGAAACCGGAAATAGAAAAAAAGTACTATTTCCGGTCATCAGACGTCACCTAACACCTAATTTTTAGATAATGTTACTGTTGCATTATAATGGTATTTATTTCTTACTTACGAATTTCCATTTTCTTTGCAAGAGTTTCAATTTCATTCGTAGGATCTGAACCCATTGATAATAGTGCAATGAGTGGAATTCTAGGATTCGTTTCTTCTATCATCGCTTCTAGGTCCAATATAACGGCTTCAGTGTACTTATTCCCCAATGCATGAGCGATGTATTTGCGAGCTTGTACAGATGTTCGGTCTGGGCACCAAGATCTACAATATGACTCATCAGATTAGTTTTCATTCTTTCAAAATATGTTCACAAAATTCTATCAACAATACAAAAAAAATCTTTTATTCTTCTGTTCAGCACATAGATTATGTGTTATTCAAATTGGAGCAGCCAAAAGCCTAAACGTGTTCGCCGACTGACATATTTTAATCCATTATATATATATATATATATATATATATATATATATATATATATATATATATATATATATATATATATATATATATATATATATATATATATATATATATATATATATATATATATATATATATATATATATATATATATATATATATATATATATATATATATATATATATATATATACTAGCCGTCCCGGCCAGGCCCTGCTCTGGCTTCTGTGAAAAACTTTTCTGTTAAAGACAATTACCTGTGTGTTTAGTAATCATCATAAACCCGGCATTGCCCACCCAAACCACAACCAACCAAAACAACAAAACGCAAACATAACGCTAACACAATTACAAATACAAACGAAAACAAAAACCTAACAACAAACCCAACCACAATCACAAACACCAATACAAACACAAAGAAAAAACAAACAAAAAAGCAAACGAAAACAAAAACCTAACAACAAACCCAACCACAACCACAAACACCAATACGAACACAAAGAAAAGAACAAACGAAAAAGCAAACGAAAACAAACCAAATCCAAACGCAAAACCAACCACAAACACAAATACAAACACAAACCCAAAGAAAATAACACAAACGAAAACAAATAAACCGGGAGTGATCTCCCCTAAACTTTCTCGAATATTCTTATATAAAATAACAGGGGATGGGAACTCGGGCTATAGACATGATTTTTAATCCATTTTAAATACTTAAAGTTTTAAAAATAGAATAAAATCTCGTAGAAAAAAGATTGCACACCAAGTGAACGCCAAATAAAAAAGTGCATAATAGTGCTCAATATTATTAGTACTTTAAAAATTTACATTAGTTTTTTGAGAAATCGGAAGTAGCGTAAATTTGTACTTCCGGGCAACGGAAATTACTCAAAATTTGACAGAAGGTAGAGAATTAGATCTTATACTTACATGTGAAATTTAATTTATCTATCTGAAATAGTACTCAAGTTATAGGCTTTTGAAAAATTCAAAGTAGGAAAAGTACCACTTCCGGTTATCGGAAATCGCTCAAAAGTTGATACGGATCTACGATTTTGATAAAATACTTATACATGAAATTTCATCAACCTAGCTGTAACGGTACTCAAGTTATCGTGTTTACACACGGACAGACACACACACACACACAGACATACGGACAGAATTGCAAAGCCCAGTTTTTCAGACTGGATTACGCATAAAACCTCTTAATTTTGATAAATCTGGATTGATAATTTTTGCCCGATTAAAATAAGTCCTCTATACTTCGGATGTGATGAAGGACTGAGGTGTAATACGGTGAAAATTGTTAAAATTTCAATTGATTTTTGTGCACGATTACAATACTTTCTCTATACTTCGTATATACGAGAAAGTAAAAAAGAAAGAACAAAAACGAACCAAATCAAAACGCAACCACTAACGCAAACCCAACCTAAACACAAAGAAAACACTAACGCGAACATAAACGCAAAGTGCTCACAGTCGAACCCGGGGCAGAATCGCCTGTTTCAGCTTAATAATCGACTATAGTACCCCAACTTATTCATAGTCTTTTGCACTCGCTTAAACGAACGTAGGTGCCAAACCAAACCAAATGAACAATTATAATACTCCAAGCTTATTCGTTAAATACCTACAACATTTGCACTTGATCATTCCCCGCTAATTATGTAATTATTTTTTTCCCAACACCAAAACAAAGTAATAAAAAGTAAATTCTTTTCCACTAATGCAATGTTTTATATAGGGAAGTAATTGTGTTTTCCTAATTTATCAAATGGAAGTAAGTGCTAAAGGACTATATATAAATAATTTTCAGACATAATTAGAATTTTTGTTTTTTTTAAAATTGTGTTTAATGAACATGCCGACAATTATTATAATCAGTTTGAAAAATGAAAATTATTTCCCAACACTTTCAATATTAATTTTTTAACTCATAAATTTAGACTATGAGCACGATAATAATCTAACACTTAAATCCATCGAAGTATGTCAACGACAAACTTATTACATGTTACATACAGAATTGAGCTTTATATATTCGAAAAAAGTTTAGCGGATATATATATATATATATATATATATATATATATATATATATATATATATATATATATATATATATATATATATATATATATATATAAACCTTACAATAAAAAGTTTTTAAATGCGCGGAAAATAAAAAAAGACTATTTTGCTTTCTTTCATAAAACCTTTGATCGCTCATGACTCATGAGATCTTTTACAAATTTTAGAGACCAAAGCTTTTATAAAAGAATGCAAATTAGATTGATTTCTATTGATTAATGCATTATAAGATAAAAGCTTGTTATTAAAACGTTTTGTATGAATTTTTATTCAGTACTTTAATTTTTTTTAGATTCTCGTATACAGAGTATAGAGAAAGTATTGTAATCGTGCACAAAAATCACATGAAATTTTGAGTTTTCACCTCTTTACACCTCAGTCATTCATCACATCCGGAGTATAGAGGACATTTTAATCGGGTAAAAATTATAAATCCAGATATATCAAAAGTTTGGCGTAATCCAGTCGGAAAAACTGGACTTTGCAATTCTGTCTGTGTGTGAGTGCTGTGTTTCTTCCAGACTTTTTTCCTCGGGTGGGGGGGGGGGGGGGGGGGCGGACACTAGTAAACGTGTATGTTTACTATATAAATTCCATCTCGTTCAGGGGCGGGGGGGGGGGGGGGGGGGGGAGCGGTAGACTTTCTTCGAGGGGGGGGGGGGGGACGACGGACGACGGACGGAGCCCTCCCCCCCCCCCCGAAGAGATGCCTGGGAGAAACTCTGTGTGAGTGTGTATGTGTGTGTTGAGTGCCCTTACAGCTAGGTTGATGAAATTTCATATATAAGTGTTATGTCAAATGTGTAGTTCTGTTTCAACTTTTCAGCGATTTCCGATAACCGGAAGTGGAACTTATTCTACTTTCAATATGGGTACTTAAGTACTGTTTCGGATAGATAGATGAAATTTTACATGTAAGTAAAAAATCTAATTCTCTGCCTTCTGGCAAATTTTGAGTAATTTCCGTTGACCGGAAGTAGTAATTTACGCTATTTCCGATTTCGCAAAAAAAACGCATGTGTTTTAATAAATTACTAATAATATTCCGCACTATTATACACATTTTTTTTCGGCGTTTACTTGGTGCGCAATGGTTTTTTCTACCAGATTCTATTCTTTTAAAAGTCTAAGTAATTTAAAAATGGATTAAAAATCATGTCTATATCCCGAGTTGCCATCCCCCGTAGTGTTATATAAGAATATTCGAGAAAGTTTAGGGAGATCACTCCCGGTTTATTTTATTTACAATAGAGTTGCATGACTAAAAACTATTGCGCACCTAATGAGCGCAATAACGCGCGTCTAATAGTGCGAAATAGTTGGATATGACTGCCTGCTAATTTGGACACAATTTTAATTAATTCATAAAAAATAAATTAGGCATCCAATTAAATCAAATTTAATGTCAGATTACATTGTCTTTGAAATGTCAGTTAGAAATGCCCGAAATTTCGCTCGAGCGTTTCGATCTATGACGACAGATAGACAGACTGTCGACAGTCAGACTTACGACGGAGGAAGCAAGATTTTCACAAATCTCGCCGTTTTACATCTCCGTTAGTTGGAAAAACATAGTTTTGCAATTTTTTTTCGGTATGTCTGCGTGGATGTGTGTGTGAACACGATACCGTTACAGCTAGGTTGATGAAATTTCATATATAAGTAATATATAAAATTTGTAGTTCCGTATTAACTTTTCAGCGATTTCCGCTAACCGGAAGTGTAACTTATTCTAGTTTTGGTTTTTTAAAATATTACAACTTGAGTACGATTTTAGATAGATTAAACGAAATTTCACTAATAAGTAGAGGATCTAATTCCCTTTACGCAATTTCTGATTTATCGAAAAACGCACAGGCCCTGTTCTGGCTTCTGTGAAAAACCTTTCTGTTAAAGACCATTACCTGTGTGTTTAGTAATCATCATAAACTCGGCATTGCCCACCCAAACCACAACCAACCAAAACAACAAAACGCAAACATAACGCTAACACAATTACAAATACAAACGAAAACAAAAACCTAACAACAAACCCAACCACAACCACAAACACCAATACAAACACAAAGAAAAAACAAACAAAAAAGCAAACGAAAACAAAAACCTAACAACAAACCCAACCACAAACACCAATACGAACCAATAACAACACAAAAAAAAAGAAAAAGAAAAAGCAAACGAAAACAAACCAAATTACAAACGCAAAACCAACCAAAAACACAAATACAAACCCAAAGAAAAAAACACAAACAAAAACGAAAAAAGAAAGAACAAAAACGAACCAAATCAAACCGCAACCACTAACGGAAACCCAACCTAAACACAAAGAAACACAAAGAAAACACTAACACGAACATAAACGCAAAGTTCTCACAGTCTAGCCCGGGGCGGAATCGCCTGTTTTAGCTTAATAAACGACTATAGTACCCCAACTTATTCATAGTCTTTTGCACTCACTTAAACGAACAATTATAATACTCCAATTATTTTTTTCCCAACACCAAAACAAAGTAATAAAAAGTAAATTCTTTTCCACTAATGCAATTGTTTTATAAAGGGAAGTAATTGTGTTTTCCTAATTTATCAAAGGGAAGTAAGTGCTATAGGACTAAATAAAGACATAATTAGAATTTTTGTAAAAGATGATATTTTTTTAAAACTTGTGTTTAATGAACATGCCGAAAATTATTACTTTCAGTTTGATAAATGAAAATTATTTCCCAAAACTTTCAATATTAATTTCTTAACTCATAAATTTAGACCATAAGGACTTTAATTATCTAACACTTAAATCCATGGAAGATCCACGACAAACATATGTGTTACATACAGAATTGAGCTTGATATATTAGATTAATAGTCCGCGCTAATGTATACACACACTGTTTGCTGTTCATCTGGTGCGCAATTATTTTTTTCTACGAAACTCTATTCTATTTTAAAAAGTTTAAGTATATAAAAATTGATTAAAAATTATGTCAATATCCCAAGTTTCCATCTCCTGTAGTGTTATATAAATTTTTTCGAAAAAGTTTAGCGGATAATACTCCCGCTTTATTTACTAACCCGATTCAATTATAATAAAAACAACGTACAACATTTAAATATTTCTAAAAACACAAAAAACATTTCGTTAATACGTTGACAGGGTTCTATGACAAATAATCTCAGACAAAATATCCCAGACAATTTATCACACGGTCAAATGATCTCAGACAAAATATCCCAGACACATTATCACACGGACAAATGATTGCAGGGCAAAATCTCGCAGGACAAACTATCTCACGAACAAAACATATGACAAAATGTATAGAATAAATAAAGCGAACTTTTTAAAAAATTGTGATTTTGATGTGTTTTTTTTTAAATTACAAAATGATTAACATTGTTGTCATTTTGTGTGGGCGTGGGGATGGAGAAGAGCTATTTATAAACTGCTAAGTATTTTGCAACTTTTAAAGCCAAACGTTGTTTACTGTTACCTAATCAGCTATTTATGTTTTTTTTAAATTTTTAAATAGACAACCTGATGAGCAACAGCTTTAAAAATGGTTCCAACGAGTTGCTATAGTTATCAGGTATTACTTCTTCTTCGGGTGCGGCTTTATCAAACCAATTTCTCCAAGGTCTATCACTGTTGGTTACCTGCAACAAAGTCAGACATTTTATAGTAGATGGTCGATTTTTGTAAGAATTACAAAAACCTTCGTTTGGATAGATTAGAATGCATATGCCTCAATAAAAATAAATGGACTTTTAATCACACTTTGAAGATGAGGAATGTGAGGTGGGTTTCGTAAAGATTTTTGTATACAACATTAAAACCTGCATTTAGTAAGTTTATGAAAAGGTTTAGCAACTACTAACCTGATTGAGAATGTTGGTAAAAGCCGGCAACGAACTTAACATGACCAAATTGAGCCAAGTTATATCAGAAATCCACTTTGCTGGTTTGGGCGTGACAGTGTTTAAATCTAAAGCAGCTCCACCTGAAGTTAATTCATTCTAGATTTTTATTTTTTAAAAGGTATAGAGGCAAAGTTCAAACCGTATAGACGTGAATGCCTGGAAAGTTTTGGGTATGCCAGAAAACTATTGACAACTTAGTAATAGCAAGGCTTATAAAAGTAAAAAACAAATTAGCTTTAATGTTTGTAAATTATTTTATAGAGACAGTTTTTTAAAAGATGTAGGCCTATTAACAGTCAAATATTTTTCTGCAGATAACTAGTATGTTTCACTTCCCTGTTCGATTCAGTTTTGGACTGTGCACATAATTCAGCATAAAAATATTTTTTTATGTTATTTTGGCGAGGAAGAGGGTGTAAGCGAGCCAGAAGAAGGCTACTTATTTTACAAGAATGCTCCTCATCGAACAGTATGGAAAAGGTAGATATTTGTAATAGTAGTTATGAAAGCTGTAACGCAAACGTTTACCTTTAATAAAAACTTGAAACTCATGCATTTTAATATTTCCTTTCGCCAGGTCGATTTTGATCGCCAACAGTAAAGTGAACAGTTGTCTGTCCTGATTGTAAAGACTTCGTGATGTATACAACCACACTTCATACGTTAAATATTCAATTATATTGGATATTCGTTTTTGTGTCTGAGGATGAGGCTTTGACCTACATAAAATTGTTAAAACTGTAATTGATTAAAGAAGACATACTAGTCAAAAGTTTGTGTTATATTTTAAGTGAGAGTTTAGTTTCTGATTAAGTTTATAGTAGGCTTGATTAAAAAGTTAAACTGCTAATTGACTTGAGTTCTTAGGAGTCGTACGTAAATGACGTCACTCTCCTAGCGATGTTTGAAACTGAATTGTAAACTAGAATAGAACTTCGTTAATATACTTTATTTTGATCGAGCTGAATCAATATTTTAGAAAGAAATTCAATGTTCAGCTGCAATGGTGAGGGGGTTGTAAGCTGATGTATGAAGTCATTTTTAGGGGGGGGGGTGTTTTGTGATGATGTGTGACGGTACGTGAGGGAAGGTAAAATTGTCAAAAAATCGTGACGTCATTTTATGGATGACCCCCCCCCCCCCCCCCTTAAAAGTAATTCATTTCACTGTAAATTAGTAGAGTGTATTAGGTAACATTTTGACAAAGACTTCCATGTAATCATAATTAACCTAAATAACATGAATAATGTGATGTCATTTAAACTATCTAAAATATTTTGTGTTTGCAATATGTTTACATTTGTATTAAGTTGTATTAATTACCTCTGCATGGAGTTATCAAAGAGGACGAGAAACTGTGCCAATGAGATAGAATACATTCTATTGACGATGACTAGGTCGCACAGAAGAAAATAGAGAATGCTTCCACGTGCAGCCACTAAAAAGTTCAGGGATAATACATTTGTTTTCTAAATAACTTAAAAATTACAAAACATTATATAAGCCAGTAAAAGCTGTTTAGAATTATTTAATTAATTTAAATATTTTCAAAAAGTGGCCATAACCTTTCCTAGAAGTCAACCGGAATGTTAAAGTAAGAACAACTGTTTTCCATGATAAAATGCACAATAGTGATCTATGATGTTTAGCGTAGTAATGTATTTATATTAAATAATATAATAACCACAATCACCACAACACCCTGACTCTACTTATCCAAAATAAAAGTGTTTGCTAGATTACTATTATATTAGTTGTAACTATTTCTTTGTATGTGTGTATAAAAAAGTGTGTGTGTATTTGTTTGTTTGTCCCATTAGCACAATGGCGCCTACGTTCGTTCTTAACAGTGAGATAGACGTAACGTGTAATTGTTTTGTGAATATAATAAATTTCCATTTAATAGCTATGTGAAAATACCGACATTTTAGAAAGTATACATAATCATAAACCTAACCAAAACCAAAGTCAGAAACCAACATAGACATACACCTCCCCCCCCCCCCCACCCCCTCGCAATTCTATGCCTAAAAAAACAACATAAATAAAAAAAAACATAAACACAGACATAAACCCTCTCTACCCCCAGCACATCCACACCCAGAGGCGTAGCGAGGGGGGGGGGCGGGGGGGGGGGGACATATATCCCCGGGCGCCGACCTTAGGGGGGGCGCCAAATTGAAAGTTTGAGGGGGGTGCAAATGAAAAGTTCGAGGGGGGGGTGCAAATCGAAAGTTTGAGGGGGGGGTGCAAATGAAAAGTTCGAGGGGGGTGCAAATCGAAAGTTTGAGGGGGGGGGGGGGTGCAAATGAAAAGTTCGAGGGGGGGGGGGGGGGTGCAAATCGCAAGTTTGAGGGGGGGGGGGTGCAAATGAAAAGTTCAAGGGGGGGGTGCAAATCGAAAATTTGCTCCCGAGGGGGGCGCCAAATTGAAAGTATGTCCCCGGGCGCCGGGAAGGGTCGCTACGCCTCTGTCCACACCTAAGAAAACAATCACAAATAAACCGGGAGTGATCTCCCCAAAACTTTCTCGAATATTCTTATATAAAATAACAGGGGATGGGAACTCGGGCTATAGACATGATTTTTAATCCATTTTAAATATTGAAAGTTTTAAAAATAGAATAAAATCTCGTAGACAAATTAATTGCACACCAAGTGAACGCGAAATAAAAAAGCGCATAATAGTGCGCAATATTATTAGTACTTTTAAAATTTACATTAGTTTTTTGAGAAATCGGAAGTAGCGTAAATTACTACTTCCAGTCAACGGATATTACTCAAAATTTAACAGAAGGTAGAGAATTAGATCGTTTACTTACATGTGAAATTTCATTTATCTATCTGAAATAGTACTCAAGTTATAGGCTTTTGAAAAATTCAAAGTAGAAAAAGTACCACTTCCGGTTATCGGAAATCGCGCAAAAGTTGATACGGATCTACGATTTTGATAAAATACTTATATATGAAATTTCATCAACCTAGCAATAACGGTACACAAGTTATCGTGTTTACACACACACACAGACAGACAGACAGACAGACAGACAGACACACAGACATACGGACAAGATTGCAAAATTATGTTTTTCCGTATCAGTGAGGTGTAAAACGTCGAGATTTGTAAAAATCTCGATTTTTTTTTGCACGATTACAATACTTTCTCTATACTATATACGGTAAGTATTTAAAATGGATTAAAATTCATGTCTATAGCCCGAGTTCCCATCCCCTGTTATTTTATATAAAAATATTCGAGAAAGTTTAGGGGAGATCACTCCCGGTTTATTTAATGATATAATTTGAATTTTTAATGACATGTAAAGGAAGTAATTTGTACAATGTTTAGGAATAAAATTTTTTTTTTTGAGGGATAATAAATTTAGGTTGATATTATTTTTACACTTTACGTTAATTAAAACGTTAAAATTTGTAAGTTGTTCTTTAACTTCGGATTTTAAAGTAGTGTACACTTTTACCTACTAATTTTATATAGTACTAGCGTACCCGTCCCCGCGCGTTGCCGCGTGGATAGAAGAAAGTTTGACGAAATATATTAGGATTTCACCAACGCGTTAGCAATTATAATTATATGTTCTTAGACGCGTGACCTTCTTTTCTAAAAATGAGTTATTTAAATGTAAAAAATGCTTGCGGTTGGATCATAATATGGTAGAACACACTTCGGTGACCGCCTCTGTGTCAGAGACGTAGAGGGGCGCTCTCATGGCCCCCACCCCCCGATTACACTACCGCATAGGCGCGGCGTACGACCCCTGGCTCCTTAAAACTAACAGGCGCCATTAAAAAAAATATTTGACGTGTTTTAAATATCAGTGTGACTGATGCAATATGCTAGCGTTACTAATGGTCTATTATTAGATGCTCGATCTCGATTTCCGACTGGATTGTCAAATAGTAGATGCTTATTGCATCATTCGCAAAGAGACGAAACTCTACAGTAGGCTCCTCATATTCAAAAAGTTATTTTTTCATCTTTCGCAAGGTGACGAAACTGTACAGAAGGATTTCCTCGCGTTACAATGTTATTTTTAGAAGCCTGTTGTAGTTTTACCGCTGAATATAGTAGTACCCCTTACTCGCTATGCAGGACGCTCGGATGAACCGCATCCGGGTTTTATTTTTTATATACCGTGTATAGATAAAAAAAATAGCTCCCCCCGGGGTGTGCCGCCCTTGCAATATTAAACAATATTTTTTTGCAGAACCCTACCATTGAGTAATCTAATCATCTCCCCAAAGTTTCATGGTACACGGATGAACGGCGTGAAACCGAAATTTTATAAACCGTATATAGAGAAAAATCGCACCCTCCCGTGGCGCCGCCCTTGCGAAATAAAAAATGATTTTTACAGAACCCTTTCCTAGAGTTTTATAATGAACTCCCCAAAGTTTCATGGCGATCGTGTGAACGGTGTCACCGCGATTCACTTTTATTATTTGTATTACCGCATATAGAGAAAAAACAAATCGCGCCCTGCCGGGGCGCCACCTTTGCAAATTTGAAAATGTTTTTAGCGCAGAAATCTCCCCAGTAATATTCTCTACATGTTCCCAAAGTTTCATGGAGAGCGTGTGAACGGTGTCACCGCAATTCACTTTTATTATTTTTATACACATATTATAGAGAAAAATCGCACCCTCCTGTGGCGCCGCCCTTGCGAAATAAATATGATTTTTTTTTTTACAGAACCGTTCCCCAATGTGTCCTAATCAACACCCCCAAAGTTTCATGCCTATCAGATGAACGGTGTCACTGCAATTCACTTTTATTATTTTTATATACCGTATATAGAGAAAAATCGCACCCTCCCGTGGCGCCGCCCTTGCAAAATTAAAAATTATTTTTTTTACATAACCCTTCCCTAGAGGGTTATAACGAACTCCCCAAAGTTTCATGCCTATCGGATGAACAGTGTGAAATCAAAATAGACTTTTATTTTTATATACCGTATATAGAGAAAAAACAAATCGCGCCCTGCCGGGGCGTCACCCTGCGAATTTGAAATATTTTATATATATATATATATATATATATATATATATATATATATATATATATATATATATATATATATATATATATATATATATATATATATATATATATATATATTAATGGCCTAAATAAATAAAATACCTGGTCTGAACTCCTCTCTCGCAGTATTGATTTCTATTTCCGTTTCTGCTGCAACGGCAAGTTTTTCGCTCACTTCTGAGGCAGTTTTTTTGCTGGAATTCAGTACCTCAATTAGTGTAGGATCATCAACAAGAGAACCCTACAGGAACAAAAACGGCAACATTTTAAAAACCCATTTAACTACGTATGTTAATAAATAATAAAAGTAACATAAATTATTATGTGTCCTATACGAACGATAGAAGCAATATTTTATATAGTCTAGCAAAAACAAAAATACTACTACTACTACTATTAATAACGAGAAAAATGGCCCGTTGAGAAAGGATACAACGGGCGCAAGGTTGATAGTGCTGTCTATTTTCTCTAAACTAAAACCAAAACCAAAATCACCACCTTAATTCAATTTAACCGGAAACGAAAAATGACATTGAAAACGGATTTTTATGCAGAATCTGTACTTTAATTTATACAAAATGTAATCATAGGCATATCCCTAAACTATGGACCTAATCTCATTCATGACAAAAGTCGCATTTAGAGTTTCTTTCAGGCAACTCTACTCAGCCCCACCCCCCCCCCCCCCCACACACACACCCCAAAACATGTCTACCGTCCCATTCAACGAAATATAATTATATACTTTTTCCAGTGTCCGCCCCCTCCCAGAAAATTCTACCCCCGCCCCTCCAAAAAATTCAAGTACCCCCCACCCCTCGCCGGGGAGGAAAAAGTCTGAAAGAAACACTGGTCGCATTTGTAGATCA